GTCCATCCTTACAAGGAAAACGGCTCAGAAAGCAAGGACCTAGTGATACACAGCAACGTGGGCGAATCTCGAACGCTTTACAGCGAGAGAAGGAAGCCAGACACAAAAGCCTACTGTACGATTCCATTTCTGTGATGTTCTAGAAAAGGCGAACAGCCTGTGGTTGGCAGGACCTGGGGGTGGAGAGAGGAGTTGACTATGAAAGGGCACAGGGGAATTTTCTGGTGATGAAACCATTCTCTATCTTGACTGTGGTGAGGGTTGCGTGACTCTATATGTTTGTGGAAACTTGTAGAACGGGACCCTCAAAAGAGAAGACCTTACTTTATGGGAGTTTTATCTTCCCACCAAAACCCATCAATAAAACCCTCGCAGCTGCCTTCCGTCAGTCGGGGTCGACTCAGGAAGATGAAAGCACCTCACATGCAGGGGGTTTAATACAGGGGTTGCTAATATAGACGAGAAACCCAATTCGGGGAGGAGGACTGAGACTATTTAGAAATTAGCACATAAGGAGGCCACGTCCAGGGGGAGACGCTGCCAGAAGCAGATGGGGAGAATTACCCTGGCTGTTCCCATCGTCCCAGGCATCCTCCTCGGTGCCTGCCATTGGCTCAATCTGGGCAGAAGCCAGCAGGTAAGCGAGATGTCACATGCAGGGTTCAGCCTCTAGCCACAGAGAGCCCATGTGCCCTGCCCAGGGGTTGGAGCCCTGAGCAGGGGGAGGGGAGGTAAGGGGGTAGGGGAGTGGGTGTCTGACATTCTGCCAAGACCTGGCTGGGGGGCTGATCTGCACGTTTTTTCTGCTCCACAGCCCCAGCCTGGCTGAACTGAAGGGAATAGAAACTATGCAAATCAGGCCTATCCCCAGGGGCTTGGGGGGTAGGACGCCTCAGTGGGTGGCTCCGCCTCCTCACAGACTCGCAGTTACCCACAAACGGAGCAACAAACAAACACACAGCAGATGTTTTCGCTGTTGATGGGGGAGGGGCCCTTGAGACAGCTCCCCCCAAGAGGCCAGACCCCTGCCTCCCGGCCCCGCCGCCATACCCTGCACCTCCTACCTGGGGCTGCCTCCCAGGAGTCCAGCCCTGACCTCTGGCCTTTGTGAAAACCCTCACACAGTGACGGGGCTAGAAAGGCCAGATGTTGGCGGGCCCTCCAACTTCTGATGGGTACCCCCTAAATTGCTAGCATGCCTGCAGCCAGCAGACCTTGTCTCCGAGCTGCAAGGCTGCCACTGGCCCCATGTCACTGAGGACAGAGGTCACCTACCATGGAGCCTTTGATCCCCAGGAGTGGGCAGGACACATTGACCTTTGACCTCTACCCAGGCTTGGGCCAAAATGGTGAAAGTTTGAGCCTCGCAGTGTACACCTCCGTTTCACCGAGGCTCGTCATCAGTGTGCTGGTGCAAGCCCTGTGCCAAGCGATCTGTTCACATTCCATTTGTTCCATCACTGCATGGAGAACCTGCAGGGGGCCTGGCACCCTTCTTAGCAAAGAAACAAAGACCCTCATCCTCCAGGAGCTGACCTTCTATGGGGGAGCGGGAGACGAAGTGGGAAAAATAAGACCATGATGTCATCTCTTAGAATGTAATGAAAGTTCTAGAAACAAATGAAACCGGGAAGGCAGATGAAGAATGTGGGATGGGAAGGGATCAGTGATTTTGGACCCAGTGTCACCTGAGAAGGTGGCCTTTGAGTAAAGACCTGAAGGAGGTGAGGGAGGGAGCCGTGCAGCTATTCAGGCAGAGTGGTCCAGGTGGAAGGAACGACCAGTGCTAAGGCCCTGAGGCTCGTGTGAGACTGACAGGTTCCAGTGAGAAGACCAGTTGGCTGAAACCACAGAGGGGTAGCGGGGAGAGGGGAGGGTGGAGGAAGCGAGGGCAGGTCCAGCTGGCCTTGTGGGCTGCCGCTCCGACTTTGGCTTTTGCTGTGAGCGAAATGGGTGGCCTGGAGGGGTCCGAGCTGCAGAGGGATGTGGTCTGACCCAGGTGTGTACAGGCTCCCTCCGTGGGAAGAAAAGACTGCGGGGAGCAAGGATGGAGAGAAAGAGAATGCTGATCCTCTCCATCGCTCAGTAGGGGCGGGCGTGTGGGTCCCACTTACCGATTAGGAGATGGAACGATTCACCCAGGGACACCCAGCCACTTAGTGGCAGCCTTTGGATTCGAATCTGTGTCTACGGGACTCCAGTGCCACTGGGTAAAAAATCATTTATTGGGCATCTTGTGTGCTCCTGACCTCAGGGGACAGAGACCTTGAGACCCAGGAGACAAACAGAGGGCTTTCTCTCTTTCTGGTAACATTCCTGCAACGAGATGATGAGCGTGTGGAGGAGCCAGCCCCATGGCCCAGTAGTTAAAGTTGCATGCCCTCTGCTTTGGCGGCCCAGGTTCTCGGGTTCAGGTCCCGGGTGTGGACCTGCTCCACTCATCAGCCATGCTGTGGAAGTGTCCCACATACAAAGTAGAGGAGAATGGGCACAGATGCTAGTTGAGGGCCAATCTTCCTCAAGCGAAAAAAGAAGGGGATTGGCAATGGATGTTATCTTGGGGTAATCTTCCTTACCAAAGCAAAGAAAAAAGGGCAGGCCAGGTGGCACAACGGTTAAGTTTGCACGTTCCGCTTTGGCAGCCCAGGGTTCACCGGTTTGGATCCCAGGTGTGGACCTACGCACCACTTGTCAAGCTATGCTGTGGCAGGCAACCCACATATAAAGTAGAGGAGGATGGGCATGGATGTAGCTCGGGGCCAATCTTCCTCAGCAAAATGAGGAGGATTGGTGGCAGTAGTTAGCTCAGGGCTAATCCTCCTCAAAAAAAAAAGAAAAGAAAAGAAAAGAAAAAGAAACTTCTGTTGAGTCTTTACTGTGTCACAGGCACTCTGCCAGGTGCCAGGCTACAGAAGGGAAGAAGACACAGCAAAAATTCTGCCCTGGGGAGTTTACACTTTAGTGGGAGAGACAGCCAAAAGCATTAAAATACAGGAAATTATATAGCACGTTACAAGATAAATATGGGTGGACATAAACAGGGCAGAATAAGGGCATCAGAAGGACCAGCGATGAGGATTGCAATTTTAAGTAAGAGTAGTCAGGACAGGCTTCTCAGAGGAGGTGACTTTTGAGTAAAGAATCGAAAAAGGTGAGGAATGGAGGCATGAGGGGCTCTGGGAAAAGTATGTTGCAGGTAGAAGGAACAACAGTTCAAAGGCCCTGAGGTGGGACCAGCATAAAGGAATGAGTCAACGAACAAAGCACGAGGCTGGCAGGCAGGTCCTGACACCCTCACCCCCCCGCCACTCTCTCTCCACTCTGGTCTTTGCAAATGCTGTTCCCTCAGCCTGGAACATACTTTCTCCTCTGGACAAGCTCCTGAGGGCCCCTCAAGCCTTCGCTCACAGGTTAAAGCTTTAGGGAAGCTGCCCCATGAGTTAGGAGTTCTTCCCCTGGGCTCCTACAGACCCTACAGAACTCTCTCCCCTATTCTAATGCCTTAGCCCTCTGCACAGGGCTGTATCTCAAAGGTGTCTGCTGGATTCACCCCCGTGGTACACAGTAGGTGCCTAATAAATCATTAAGCAACTAAGTGCCGTTCCATCCAATTAAAATCTAAACTCCCTGGCACAAGACAGACCTGGAAACCTGCCTGTAAAGTCCTAAACTGGTTCTGGGAGGAGACACACGCTTTTGGGAGGGGCCCTGGGGGGCACAGCACAGAGGCCGGAGGAGACAGACCTGTCACTCCAGCTATTCTTTGGGAGTTTCTGAAATTTTCTTTACCAGGCATGTGAATTACCTATGCCAACGCCAAACGGATAAATAAAATTCTACAAAATAAAGGACTAAAAGACCTTTTCAAATGACAAAGTGCATGGAGTTTTAAACACACATCCAAGGTTATTCATGCAGGGAGGGAAGACACAATGAAATACATGGTAAATTTTCATTCATACTTCACAAAAATATCCATATGTTATATATCAGATGCAAAAAAAAAGAAAACTCACATTGTTAGCGCGTCATTTAAGTCCTCCAGGGTCCACCCCATCCACACCGGCCCTGGTTCTTGATTTGATGACAAGGCTCACTTTTAATCCTCATCATAGTGCTGCTTCCTAAGTTTCACTCTGTGCTGGCGTTTTCATTCTGTACACGCTTTGCCTCCATCGTTTCAGCGAAGTCTCACAACCTCGCCATTTTGCAGACGAGGAAACTGAGGCTGGCTCTGACACCGAGTTCTCAGCCGCCGCGCTCCGTGCGGCCCGCGCTGGCCCCCAGGTGCCCGGCCTGGCGCGGCACGGAGGGCTGCTGCGGGCTCGTGGCGCCCCCTGGAGGTCTCATGGGTACGTGGCAAGGAACCTACCAATGAGCGTTTGGATTTCTGTAGGGCGGATGGGCCACAAGGGAGGCAGCCCGGGATCTGGGGTCGCCCCACTCTGCGCGGTCCTCGGAGAGCCCCGGCCGGTCCCAGAGGGGACAGGACCCTGGCCTAAGGCTCTAGGGGAGACACAGACCCAATCTGAGGGGCTTGAAGGGGACATTAGGCCCCGCATTTAAACAGACAAACAAAACCACGTTACTGGATACAGGAAAACCCGCGCTGAGAGTCCTGGAGGCCAGATGGGGGCGTGGCCTGGAGGGCGTGGCCAATGCCCAAAGCCTCACAGCTGTTGGTGAATTTCCCTTAGGTGCCCGTCCCGGAACCGCCCAGCCAGGGGCGGGCCACCTTTCCAGGCTTAACGCTCATTGGCTGAACGAGGAGAGTGGGAAGGTTTCATTGGTTGGATTCCTGCTGGCTGTTTAGGGGCGGGACCCAAGGGGCGTGGCCAACAGAGGGGGCGGGGCTTCTTGCGATGGAGCCGCGTCTCCGGAGGCCGCAGAGGGTCTTTTAGGCCGGGAGTGAAAAGTGGTATTTGGGGCGGAAGCGAGGGCATGCAGGGCCGCGCCGCGACCTCGCTGCTGCCCGGCGCCCCGCTTTTCGGCACCGCCTCCGAGTGGGGCGGGCGATGTCGCGGGCGTGACGTCATCGCGAGGCGCCGCGCGCGGCCGCCGGGAGGCCTGACCTCTCAGGCATGGGGAGCGGCGCGGCTATGCTGCTGCTGTGCCGGGCCGGGGCGCGGGCCTGGCTCCGGTCCCCGGGCTGCCGGGTGAGGCCGGGGGCTGGGGGCGGGGTCGGAGGACAAAGGTGGGACGGTGCGGGGGTCGTCTGACTCTCGTCCACCGCTTTCAGGGCCTGAGCGCGCTGGCGGAAGAGGCGGTGAAGCTGGCGGAGAAGTCAGAGCCGGTGGCGAGCGGGGGTGAGTTTGCCGGGCTCGCGCTAGGAGGGGCAGCGACGCGGAGCTCTGACCTTTGTCCCTGACCTCCCAATCGCGCCAGGTCCCCAGGAGCCCGTGCTGCGCAGATGCGAGCTCCCGGTCGTCGCGCCCCGGCGCCCGGTGCAGGCCTGGGTCGAGTCCCTGCGGGGCTACGAGCAGGAGCGCGTGGGGCTGACCGAGCTGCACCCGGACGTTTTCGCCGCGGCGCCCAGGTGAGTGGCAGCGGTCATGGTGAACGGGGCGGCAGAGGGGCGAGCAGCGGGGGCTGAGGAATCGGGACGACCTGGCTCCTGCCTTGGCAAAGAGCTGAGTTTCTAGAGCCAGTTTCCCCGCCTGTCAAAGGGGGATGATGGTTTTTCCTGCTGCAGAGCTGTGTGAAGTCGAGAGCTGAGAGTTAACATCCTCTGGGGGTTAAGGACACGGAACTCTGGAGCCCAAGGAACTGGGTTCAAATCCCGCCTTCCCATCTTGGGCTTCAGTGTCCCGGTGTTTCAAACCGCTGCTTGCTGCGATGTTTAAATGAGTTAATTCTGGGACATAAGTTCCTGTAGAACAGTCCTTGCTGTTACTGGTTTTTGCAAAAATGAGCGCTAACCATGGCTATGTCCTTCCTGTGTGCCTGGCACAGTCTTTGCATTTTAGTGAACTGGATCCTCACAGCAACCCGGGGACGGGGTTCTGTGATCCTTATTCTGTAGCTAAGGAAACTGAGCACAGATAGGTAAAGAAACTTGCCCAAGGTCACACAGCTTGTAAGCTTTAGAGCCAGGATGGCAGCCTTATGTGGGCCAATTCCCAGGGCTGGGTTTTCGCCTACCGAGGGCTGTGTTGTCTCATAGGTACCATGTCTAGCACGTAATAAGTGCTATTAATTTAGTACTGTTACCATTATTTGTGTGCTTAGCCCCCTGTGTTTACAGAATCCCCACCTAGTAGAGAGTGAGAAAAACATGTAAAACAGTCTGTTTGGGCCGGCCTGGTGGTGTAGTGGTTAAGTTCGTGCGCTCCACTTTGGCAACCCCAGGGTCATGGGGTCAGATCCTGGGGGCACAGACCTACACACCACTCATCAAGCCATGCTGTGGTGGCATCCCACATACAAAATAGAGGAAGATGGGCACCGATGTTAGCTCAGGGCCAATCTTCCTCACCAAAAAAATTAATGAAAAGAAAACAATGAATTTTATTCTGTAAATGCTTCTGAAGCACCTACTCTGTGCCCAATTCCCTTCTAGGTGTTGGGAATACAGCAGCGAATGAGCACGCAGGTCACCGATGTTGCTCACAGCCCAGAGCAGGGCTCAGCAAAGTTTTTCTGTCAAGGGCCAGACAGTAAATATTTAGGCTTTGTGGGTCCCCATGACAACTGGTCATTTCTGCTGTGCATTGCAAAAGCTGCTGTAGATGGTACGTAAATGGAGGAACGTGGCTGTGTTCCAGGAAAACGTATTTATAAAACCAGGCAGCAGGCCAGAGTGGCCTACGAGCCGGAGTTTATCAGCTCCTGGCAAGCTAGCCTGGCGGCCGTGTCCGTGTACCACATAACGTGAGCCACGTGTGAAATTTAAATTTCTTTAGTAGCCGCATTTGTTTTAAGAGTGGAAGAAACAAATGAGATTGATTTCAATCATATTTTCCTTCTGCTGGTGTATCTAAAATATTGCCATTTCAACACATGGCCACATTTCAGGTGTGCGGTAGCCACACAGGTGGCTTGTGTCTCCCGCAGGGGACAGCACAGGGCTAGAGAGGAAAGCCAGCCCCTGGAGAAGTGGCCCTAAGTAAGTTGTCTTGTCATTGTGAGAAAGATGAAGGGGCGGCCCTTTCTTTAGCAAGGGGCTCCTCCGAGGGTGTGGTTTGCGCTGAGACCTGGAGGCTGAAAAGGAACCAGTCAGGGGAAGAGCATTTCAGGCAGAGGGAACAGCCAGTGCTAAGGCCTGGAGGCTGGACTCCGTCTCTCAGAGAGACCAGTGGTGTGAGATGGGGCGAGAGAGGCGCAGGGCCAGATCACACTGCCCTGAAAGCGGCCGAGACGGGCCTAGGTTGTCATCTGCGGGGTTGGGGAGGGTGTTCGTGGAGGCGAGGCTGTCAGTGTCCTTTCTTCCTTCACAGGCTGGACATCCTGCACCAGGTGGCCATCTGGCAAAAGAACTTCAAGAGAATTGTGAGTGCCCCGGGTGGGGTGAGGTGGGAGGGGGAGGCAGAGGAACCCTCCGTGTGTCTTCTCTGGACTGCTGGGCTCGGGCCTCATCTTCCCTCCCTGAACCACTCACCAGTGGGTCGGTTGCCAGGCACGTTCTGAGCAAGATCGCTGCCCTTAGGAAGCTCCCAGTCTGGTTGGAGATGTAAACGTGAATCAGGTAGTCATGGCTGGAAATGTATAATTTGGGAGGTTGTCCCAGAGAAAGGGCCATTTAACCTCAGGTGTGCAATAGGAGCTAGCTAGGCAAAGGGGGCAGTGGGGCTGGGGCGGAGGTTGTGGGAACAGCACACACAAAGGCCCTGTGGCAGGGCCCAAAAGGAGCCCAGCATGGCCATGGAGGTTAGCAAGAGCATTGGTGAGGAGTTTGGATTTTGTGCCAAGAGCATTGAAGAAGCCACGATGATCAGGGTCTCTCTCTTCCCTCTGCCCCCTCAGAAGTCCGGTGAGTCCTCCCCTGCTCACACCCTCCGTGGCTCTGCCGTTACCCCAAAATAAAGTCGGCCTGGCACTGGAAGCCCCTCATGATCCCCACCCCCACCTCTCCCTGACTCTCCAGCCACGTCTTTCCCCGTGCCCCTCCTTCCTTTCCGTTGGAGTCACATTGAAGTCATTCAAAAAATACTGTGGAGGGGCCGGTCTGCTGGCATAGTTGCTAAGTTCGAGCACTCCGCTTTGGCGGCCTGGGGTTCATGGGTTCAGATCCCAGGTGCGGACATGGCACCACTTGTCAGACCATGCTGCGACAGGCGTCCCACGTATAAAGTAGAGGAAGATGGGCACGGATGTTAGCTCAGGGCCGGTCTTCCTCAGCAAAAAGAGGAGGATCGGTGACAGATGTTAGCTCAGGGCTAATCTTCCTCAACAACAACAAAAACGCTACTGTGGAGCCAGCCCTGATGGCCTAGCAGTTAGAGTTCAGTGTGCTCTACTTCAGCAGCCCAGGTCCAGTTGCCGGGTATGGAACCACACCATTCGTCTGTCAGTAGCCATGCTGTGGCAGCAGCTCACATAGAAGAATGAGAAGGATCTACAACTAGAATATATAACTATGCACTGGGGCTTTGAGAAGGGGAAGAAGAGGAAGATTGGCAACAGATGTTAGCTCAGGGCCAATCTTTCCCAGCAAAAAAGAAAAAACACACACACAACTGTGTACCAGGCTGCAGAGCCCCTGCCTTTCAGAGGCTGACCTTCTGGAGCGGAGGAGGAGCTCGATTCCTCACCCTTCCCTCCCTCCCAAGGCACTCTGTGCTTGTCCCCGTGGAGCTGCGATGCCTGTGCCTCCTGTTGGGCTCCCCGGTGGCAGGCCCGGTCTGCCCAGCGCCCTGCCCTGTTCCTGGGCCTGGCACCTCTCGGCCGCGATGACATCCTCCTCCGGCTCCTGAGCTGTCCTCACTTTGCACCCACAGAGCTACGCCAAGACCAAGACCAGGGCCGAGGTGCGGGGTGGCGGCCGGAAGCCCTGGCCACAGAAGGGCAGCGGGCGCGCAAGACATGGCAGCATCCGCTCCCCGATCTGGCGAGGCGGTGAGCTGGCAGCCGGGAGCACCGGGGTTCCTCACGCTGCTGGCGTGGCAGCTCCTCAGTCCCCCTCCCTCCCCGAGGCTGTCCCCCTCAGCCCTGGCTGGGGCTTCTCTCCTGGGACTGTGGCCACAACCCCGCTGGCCCCGCCTTCCATCCCCGCCCCCCATCGCCAGCCCCCAGAGGGGTCTTCCTCTGCTTCCAGCGCCCGCGGTGGCTGCACGCCCTCCCCTGGGTCCCCCCGCACCCTCTCTGACCGCACAGCTGACTCAGAGTGAGCCCCTGTTTGCCCGGCCAGCTCATCTCATCCTTCCAGTGCCTTTGAGCCACGCCTCAACCAGGAACCTCCCCCCGACCTCGTTTGGGTCCCCCGCCCCCTCCAACCCCTGGCGTGAGGGCGGGGACCCTGTCATCTGGTTCCCTGCTGCACCCCCCAGGGCCGAGGGGCTGGGGGGTCATGCAGGTACCTGGTCCTCACTGACAGCTGGGGAAACCGGGGCCCAGGCGGCCAGCTGCTGGGGCACAGCTGGGTCCTCCGAGCCCAGCCAGGCCGCCTGTTCACACACCTCTGTCCCGCAGGGGGCATTGCCCACGGCCCCCGGGGCCCCACGAGCTACTACTACATGCTCCCCATGAAGGTGCGCGTGCAGGGCCTCAAGGTGGCGCTGAGCGTCAAGCTGGCCCAGGTACAGCCCCCCCGCCCCTATGCTGGGAGCCCCAGGCCCTGGGTGCCTGTGGGGGCTCAGAGCCACCTTCCCTCCCGCAGGACGACCTGCACGTGGTGGACTCGCTGGAGCTGCCGAGCGCAGAGCCGCAGTACCTGGCGGAGCTGGCCCGCTACCGCCGCTGGGGGGACTCCGTGCTGCTGGTGGACCTGTGAGGGGCAGGCGGCGGGGGCAGGGGCGGGCGGAGCTCGGTCCCCTGTGTGGCTCACCTCCCCGCCTCCTTGCAGAGAGCACGAGGACATGCCCCCCAGCATCGTGGCTGCCACCTCCTGCCTCAAGACCTTCAACCTGGTGCCAGCGATCGGTGAGCACAGGGCCCGGTCTGTCCCCAGGCCCCCAGAGCACACGGGCCAGTTCACGTCCTGTGTCTGTCCCCTGGTCACTGAGACGCCAGGGGCCACCCCCCCTCCGCACCCCTCAACTCGCCCAAGTGGGCCAGCAGGGGAGAGATGCCCTTGCTAAAGACACGCTCTGGGGCGCGGGTGGGCAGAGGGGCACAGGGCCGGCCAATGGGACCTCGTCAGTCCTGAGCGGGTCACCCCACCTCTCTGTTGACATCCCAGAGCTGTCCCCTGGCTCCTGAGGGCCGCTGCCTGCCGGAGAGGCTCATGCTGTCCTGGCACCAAAAACCCCTTCCTTCGGGGGCTCAGGCCCTGTCCCCCAACTCCAGTCTGTGAGCTGCCCCGTGGGCTGTCTTTACACAAACCCAGAGTCCAACCCGCCTCACCACCCTGGGCCGGCTCCCAGCCCCTCCCGCCCTGTCCCCAGTCTGTCCCCACCTACGGGCGCCAGAGGGCGCCCGTCAGCCCCGAGCTGGGCCCTCCCTGAACCGCCCACAGTCCTTGATGGCTCCGACCTCACTGGTGAGGGTGCAGGGCCTGCCCTCTTCTCTCAGGCTCACTAACTGCAGCCACACGGGCCCCTCGCTGCCTTGTTTCCTCCTCTGTCTCCGTTTGTCCTCTGCTCCCCCACCGCCAAGCACAGGGCAGAGCCGGCCCAGGAAGGTGACAGGCTGAGGACAGTCCCCTCCCCAGGGTCTGACCAGCAGTGGGCAGCCGAGCTGGGCTTTGAGCCCCAGCCCCAGGCCCACGACCCCACGCCAGACCCTGGGTTGTCTGTAAGGGGCGCTCCCCCAGGAGGGAGAGGGGCTCCCAGGGGATGGGGGGCAGCCCCCCTGACGCCACCCCGCCCCCAGGCCTCAACGTGCACAGCATGCTGAAGCACCAGACCCTGGTCCTCACCCTGCGCACCGTGGCCTTCCTGGAGGACAAGCTGCTCTGGCACGACTCGCGCTACACGGCCCTCTACCCCTTCCGCCTGCCCTACCGCGACTTCCCCTGAGCCGCGGCCAGCAACGCCCTGCTCCTCCAATGCCCTGGGAGGCCCCCTCATCCCCGGGGGAGGCTGAGGCCACCCATAGAGTGGCCGAGCTCGTGTCACCCTGGGAAGGGGTGATTCGGCAGAGAGCCCGACCTATCTCCTGGCCCAGTCCTCCCTTTTTTGGTTTTAAGAGCAATTGTATTTTGTAATCAGAGAGGCGGGAGAAACAGCCCAGCTCCGGGCCATTTGGTGAATAATGGCATTTGGCCCGGTGCTGGGTGCCGCTGGGGACCTCTATCCTCAGGGATGACCTCAGCACTGTTTATAGAAACAGCTCAGGATCCAGGTCCCTGGAGTGAGCCAGACTCCGGAGGGCAGAGGAGCGGGGGCGTCCGCCGTTCCTCAGAACCGCTCCCGGCCCCTCTCTGTTCCCGAGGGCCCTCCTCCTGCCCTCTCGTCGCCGACGAGCTCTGCAGTCCCATTTGTTAGGGTCCTTCAGTGGGAGAGTGCGGGCTCCCTCCCACAAGACCAGTGCCATGTGCAGACTGGAGCTTTGTCAGATGATTTCTCTTAAGCAAGAGTCAGAAAAGCAATTGTGTCAATGAGTGAATGAATAAACACATTTTTAAAAACACAAGCCAGTATCATAGTTCTCGAGTCTGCTGATGTTGTTCGCCCTCCCTAATTTTTCTTTTTTGCTGAGGAAGATTGGCCCTGAGCTAACATCTGTGCCAGTCTTCCTCTAGTTTGTATGTGGGATGCTGCCACAGCATAGCTTGATGAGCCGTGCGTAAGACCGTGCCTGGGGTCAAACCGGCAAACCCCAGGGCACCGATGCGGAGCTCGTGAAATTAACCACTACACCACCAGGCTGTCCCTCAAATTAATTTTTTTAATAGTCATAACAGACTATAAAATAACGTGGTCACTCCCTTGCAAGTCAGCCAGAACTACCGTCTGTGTGTGTGGGCCTGGCCGGGCCAGGTGGCCAGTGACCCCCCCATCGGCTGGGCTGCCCTTCGCCAAAAACATCTGTGGAATGCCTCTGGGGAGTGCCTTCAGAGCTTACAACGCATTCTTTGAAAATCGTCAACGGACATAAACTCGGGTCTCGAAGGCACCAGATGTGATGAAGTAAGGCAAAAGCTGTTTGGAGCCAGTGGTCAGGAGGAGCACAGAGGCCAGGCGGGGGCTGCCGGGGCCAAAGCCATTTGGTGACCAGTCTCTTCCTGTGGCTCTTGCCAGCCCCGTGGGGCCCCCGAGGCCTGGAGTAAGAGCCAGCTGTTGTCCTGACAGCGCCAGCCCAGCCTAGATAGCCGTGGCCAGGAGTCATGGGACTCAGTTTTCTCCCTCCCAGGCCTCAAGACGCAGGGAGGCCAGCCCCTGCCCATACGGAATTTCAAAAGAAGTGAGTCAGAACCTGTGCCCACGTTCTGGGTTCCCTCACCGGATCAGGGATGGAGAAAGGCGTCCGGAGCAATGATCCAGCGTCCAGAATGTGCTTTCAAATCATGGCTGGGAGGGTGTCTCTCAGTTTGTTGGGGCCACCTGAACGTCCCCCAGATGGTGGCCTCGACAACGGACCGCGGGTCTCAGGGTTCCAGAAGCCAAAGCATGAGATCGCGGTTGGTTCCTTCTGAGGGCTGGAAGGTGACTCTGTCCCACTCTTTTCTCCTGGTGCTTCACCCGCCATCGTTAGCGGCCCTGGACTGCAGACACATCACCCCGATGCTCGCTGCCTTCATCCTCACGTGGCCTTCTCACTGTGCGTGTCTGTGTCCAAATGTCCCTTTTTTATAAGGACACCAGGCACGTTGGGTTAGGCCCACCCTCAAGACCTCATCTGAACTCAAAGCTGGCTCACGTGGCTTCATCGTACGCCCTCCTTGCTGTGGCCTATGTTTGAAATTCTCTGTAATAGAACACCTTTTTAAAAAAAGATGGGAGGGGCCAGCCCGGTGGCATAGTGGTTAAGTTCACATGCTCCAGCTCAGCTGCCCGGGTGTGGACCAACACACTGCTCATCTAGCCACGCTGTCATGGCATCCCACGTAGAAAATACAAGAAGATTGGCACAGATGTTAGCTCAAGGCCAATCTTCCTCACCAAAAAAGATGGCTGAAGACATTTGTTCAGGGGAGCTATTTCTACCTGCAAGTCCCCATCCACCTTCTTGGGACACGGGTTGGCCCAGAGCCCAAAGAGGGAGGCGACTTCACAACCTTTGAAAAGTGTCCCCAAGGCAGGATGCCCAGGACTCTGGCTGACTCTGCCTTAAGGAAGCTGAGGTGAGCTGACGGGGCTGCGATCTGACCCCCCAGGAAACCCAGAACGAGAGGCAGATGGCTCTGATGGTGGAGCCAGGGGTCTGCTCATCCGTGGTCGGCGTCGAGGCCCCCTGGGAGGGCCTGAGGGAGGAGCTACAATCCGGATCAGAGATGCCAGTGCCCCAGCCAAGGGTCTCCAGGAAAGTGACGGCCTTAGAGTCCCCAAAACACATCCCCGCCGAGTCCATTGTGGGGGGGGGCCCTGAAACCCCCTGCCGGGTCATCCAAAGAGAGCAGAGCCACCAGCCGAGGAGGAGCCGCCCTGTCCCCTCCCCCCCGTCCCTGGGCAGGAGGGGCCCAAAGGTTGAGAGGGTGACGGGGACAGGAAGAGAGTCCACAGGGGGACCAGCCCCTTCCCCATAGAGGCCTCCAGCCTGGCGGGCCCGGCCCGGGGCCCCCATCCCACACCAAGTCTGGTGATCAGAGATGGGATTGAGTCGCGGATCTGGGCCTGAGTCCAGTGCCGAATTCTCCGCCGGGGCAGGGCAGGACTCCACCGCGGGGTGAAGAGGCAGTGGCGCAACAAAGCCACATTTGCTCAACCTCCAGACGTCAGGGATTTTCACTTTACACCCCAGGGCCGCGAGGCGAAACTGTGACGCCGGTAGGAGCACAGAGGAGGAGCCCGTCCTGCCTGGGGAGCCTGAGGGGCCCTCTCGGAGCTGAGTCTAAGGGAACAGACGGAAACTACTACTGTGCTGCTCACTCTGCACTCGGCCAGGCCATGCGCTGCACACGGATCTGCGTAGGGACGTCGCAGCCACCCTTTGAGGCATCTGTCATCATCACATTCGACAGCTCAGGCCATTGAGGCCCAACCGGGGGACGTGGCTTACTCAGGGTGACAGCTTGTGGCTGGAGCTCTCGTGGGATGCTGGCCACACACTCCCAGCTGCCACCCTGCAGAACCACACGGGGCTTGTCTGCTGAAAGGCCAGAGGGACTGAGAACCATGAGATACCACTTCACACCCATTAGGATGGCGATAATTATAATTATTACAGTAATAGTAAAACAGACAGGAAGTATGGGCCAGTGTGTGGAGAAATTGGAACCCTGGAACCCTCGTGCATTGCTGGTGGGGATGTAAAATGGTGTAACCACTGTGGAAAAACTCTAGAAGTTTCTAGAAAGTGAAGCATGGCGGCCAGCCCCATGGCTGAGTGGTTAAGTTTGGCATGCTCTTCTTCGGCGGCTGGGGTTTGGTTCTTGGGCGTGAACCTGCACCACTCGTTTTTGGCCATGCTGTGGCAGCAACCCACATACAAAACAGAGGAAGATTGGCACAGATGTTAGCTCAGGACAAATCTTCCTCAGGATAAAAAAAGTTAAACCACGTGACCCAGCAACTCCACTCCTCAGTGGATACATAAAAGAACTGAAAACATGTTCATACAAAAACTTGTACATGAAGGCTCAGAGCAGCAGGATCCATAGCAAAGGTGGAAACAACACAAATGTCTACAGGCCAATGAATGGATAAACAGAGTGTGCTCGACCCTTGTAAGGGAATATTACTCAGCCCTGAAAAGGAAAGAAATACTGAGACACACTGCAACAGAGGAGAACTCAAACTTTGCACGAAAGATGATGAACGTTTCGCTCCGTGAAAGAAGCCAGACACGAAAGGCCACATATTGTGCGATTCCATTCATAGGAAATGTCCAGAACAGGCAAGTCCATAGAGACAGAGAGTAGAGGAGTGGGTGCCAGGGGCCGGGGGAGGGAGCATGGGGGGTTTGCAGGTTTCTTTTTGGGGTGACGGGAATATTCCAGAATTAAATAGTGGTGATGGTTGTACAAGATTGTGAATCTACTGGAAAATCTTGAAAAGGCAAAAATGTGAATTGATTTCAATTAAATATGCATATATTTACCTCATATATATATATGAATGTAAATTGGTGCATACATTATGGAAAACAGTATGGAGTTTCCTCAAAAAATTAAAAATAGAACTACCATATGATCCAGATATTCCACTTCTGGGTATTTATCTGAAGGAAATGAAAGCAGTGTCTCAAGAAGATTTCTGGGTAGCTCAGGGCCAATCTTCCTCAGCAAAAAGATGAGGATTGGCAACAGAAGTTAACTCAGGGCCAATCTTCCTCACCAAAAAAAAAAAAGAAGAGAGAGATATCTACATCTCCAAGGTCATTGCAACATTCTTTTTTTAAAATTGAGATAGAATTGACACTGCAGCATTCTCCACCAGAGCCAAGATCTGGAAACAACCTAAGTGCCCATCGATGGATGAGTGGATAAAGAAGATGCGGTGTATGCAGACAATGGGATATTATTCACCATGACAAAGAAGGAAATCCTGCCATTCACGAGGACACGGATTGACCTTGAGGACATTATGCTCAGTGAAAACAGCCAGATGAAGAAAGTCAAATACTGTGTGATCTCACTTATAGGTGGAATCTGAAAGTACCAAACTCCTAGGTAGGGAAACGGATCGGTGGCCACCGGTGGCGGGGGGTGGGGGATGGGAAAATGGGCGCAGGGGGTCAAAACTTCCCCCATTTTGCAGAGACAAACTTCCACTTATAAGATAATTAAGTTCCGGGGGTGTGACGTGCAGCATGGTGACTAAAAACAATTTTTTAAAAATATGTAAATAATGAGGATTTTTAGGCTGCTTAATTTTAAAACGGTTTATGATGAGGATTTTAGGCTGGTTACTTTTAAAACTACAGATGAGAAGCAGGCTCCAAGGACTGGAATTTTGCTTGCCCTTTTGAGAGACATTTGCGTTTGTGAAGGAAGGGGGGATGACCTTGTAGGGACCTGAAATTGGCCACCCCAGGATATGTCTCTTTGGCATCAGGATTGTTTTGGGCTGATTGCTTTCGATAAACTGGGACAGGGAAGGAGGCTCTGGGGCTATCTGTAAAAGGTGCCTCCCTCTCTGTACCAGGAAGAAGAAGAGAGATGACCTTATCCCTAGAAACTCTTAATGGGGAAGGCAAGAACTTAAGTTGGTTGCTGTCTGGCAATCTCATGTAACTGATTTAGGGTGGTGGCTTCTGACCTTTACTTAATCCGATTTGATTCTTGTCTAAAAGTCATGGGATCACCCAATGACCAGACCCCACCTGCACTGATACCATTTTAACTTTTTTTCATGTTCTTTCCTTTGTCTTCGTAAAGAGATGACTCACATACCTATGCCTTAAATTTAGCCCTAACCCTCAACTCAGGGCAGCAGCAGGAGCTCTGACTGCCCATGGGTCCTGTCCCCACGCACCAGCTCTGCCTGCCCATGGGTCCTGTCCCCATGCCAGTGGGGGCAGCAGCAGCGGCAGCAAAAGCTCTGACTGCCCATGGGTCCTGTCCCCATGCTACACTATTCTCTAAATAAAAGAGCACTACTGCCAGATCTTAAGAGTCTAAGAAATCTTTCTTTCGACTCCTCGGCTCACCGACCCCGCATCAGTAAATATATGAAGGATGAGGGCGCTGCCGTCCCGGGAGCAGCGTCCCCCGGCAGGGACGGGTTGGTGTGGAATCTCCCCATCGCCAGGAGTTCTCTGTGAGACAGGACCCCAGCTGCTCCCAAAGTGGAGCCCCCTTAATGCTCCCCTTGCCTGGGCCCCTCCCTGACCCCCGGCTCCAGACATTTCCTAGGACCACCTCCCAGACTGGCCACCTGTGCGCCAGGTCTCGTCTCAGAGCCTGCTTTTGGGGGAACATCAACGAAGACAGCAGCCCAGGTCTGCTCAAAGCTGGTGCTCCGATCCCTGTGCCAACCTCGTGGATCCAAAGCTCCAGGAACCTTTTGTAAATGCGGTGGGAAGGGCTTCTGGGCTGGAGGAACAGCATGCACAGAATGCTCCGAGATGAGAGACGTTCATTCATTCAACAAACATGTATTGATCCCCCCCCCTCAGGAGTAGACACTGAGGCAGGTGCGGGGGCGGACGGGGTCCCTGCCCTTCTGGAGTTCACGGAAATGGAGTCACAGACAAGCAAGTCAATCCAAAGAACTTCCGCAAGGGGATAAAGAGTCAGTGACCAAACCGTTAGGGCCAGCGCTGGGCAGCGAGTGGGGTGTGGCCCAGCATGGAAGGCGGGTGTTCTGGAAAGTTTTCAGGAGGCGGCTCAGGCCACAAGAAGGGAGGGGCCGCCTGTGTCAGGGATGAGGGGAAGGGCATTTGAGGCTGCAGGAACTGCAAGGTGGCCACACCAGGGCTCAGGGTGAGGGGAGAGCCGGCGTAACGCCGGGGAGCGGGCTGTGGGTACCTCTGCCCGGGTCCGCAGGCCTCTGCTCTGCCGGGGCCCGGTCCTGGGGGCTGCCCGAGACCGCTTGGCACCCTGGAGGAAGCCCTGCCTTTCCTGGCGGCAGGCGAGGCCAGAGGACCAGCAGCTTCCCTTTTCCTCCAGGAAGCGCCAAGGGTGTGGAAGCGCGGGCAGCGCACGGCCCCGGTCCCATCTGCCCCCGTTACCACCCCCTCCTCACCTCAGGAAACGGCCCTCCAGCCTCCAGGGCTCCGGCCAGGACCAGGTTCCCCTTGACCCTGCCCTGCCACGCGTCCCAGAGCTCCATGTGGCCCTGCCACCGAAATGGATGCCAAATTTGGCCCCTTCTCCAATGCCACCGCCGCTGGCCCAGGCCTCATCCTTGTCCCCCTCCTCTCCACTCTCCGTCCTTCCCCTTGTCCTCCCCATCCCCTGAGTGTAGCTCCCGCAGCCTCAGGAGGGCACCTAGAAACACCTGAGTCAGGGCCTGTCCGTCCTCTGCTCAGAACCTTCCATGGCTCCCACTTCGCTCAGAGCAAAGCCAAAGTGCCCCTCCCCCCAGGCGACAAGCACCTGCATGCTCTGCCCCATCCCCGCCTGCCCTCTCCAATTCTAACTCTTTTCATTTCTCCTGCACTCCAGCCACACTGGCCTCCTGCCTGTTCCTAAGGCAGTTCCTACCTCAGGGCCTTTGCACATTCAGTGCCCTCCCTAGTACACTCCCTCCCTCCCCGCCTCCCTCTGGTTTTTGCTCCCATGTCACCTTCTCAGTCTTTCCCAGAATATTCTATTTAAACATTCATTAACTCTCACATTGCTTATCCTCTGCCCTGCTTTCTTTGTCCCCTTAGACTGCTCAGGAGCTAACACTCCATCTATTTTATTTTTGTTTCTTGACTGTCGCCCCCACGAAGACCATCTCTGCACGAGGGCAGAGACTTTTGGCCGTCGTGTCCATGGCTGGGTCCCCAGCACCTGGAACGGCGCCTGGCACAGAGTGTGCGCTCCATAAACACGGTCGAGAGAGAGAGGCAGAGACAGAGAGACAGAGACAGAGAGAACGACGCCGTTATAACTCAGAGGGAGGCCTGGCCGCACGGGGGAGCTCGCGGCCCGCGCACTTCGGACCCAGACTAAAGGACCCGGGGAAAAATCCACCAGAAAATGACCTCCCCGCGCAGGGTTTTCCCAGACCCTCCGAGGCGCAGGGACATTCCCCGTCCCCACCCTGCGCCTTCGCCCAGGCGGCTCTGGGCAGGAATGGGCACCCTGCACCCTTCCAGGAGAAAGATCCCCGTGGAAATTCCTTCAGGACCGTGCGGGAGGGGAAGGGACGCTGTTCTGGATGACGAGTGACTCGCAGCCCCTCCCGCGGAGGAAGGGCTCCAGGGTTCCCCGGGGCCCCCTCCCTTCCCCTTCTGCCGCGCGACCTCCCTGGCCCCTCCGCGGTCTCCATGGCGCCGCAGCGCGCGTCCCACAACAGGAAGCCTTTAGGCGGCACGACTTGGCGCTCGGGGACCCCGGGTGCTCAGCCTCGACGCGGTGGATGCTGAGTCCTGGGGTCACCTGCGCGTGCCGTGCCTGGGCGGGGGGGGG